TGACACTGTCTAACCATCTCATCCTTTGCCGTCCCCGTCTTCTTTGACCTTCAATCTTTCCAAGCATCAGGGTCTTCTCCAGTGAGTGCTCCCTTCTCATTTGGTGGCCAAAGTATTTGAGCTTCAGTTTCATTATCTGGCCTTCCAGGGAACAGTCAGGGTTGATTTCTTTGAGGATTGACTGATTTGTTCTTCTTGCAGTCCAAGGGACTCTCAAGAGTCTTCTCCAGCACCATAGTTCAAAAGAATCTATTCTTCTGCGCTCGGCCTTCCTTATAGTCCAACTCTCGCAGCCATACATGACTACTGGGAATACCATTGCTTGGACCATGCGTATTTTTGTTGGCAGGGTGATGTCTCTACTTTTTATCATGCTGTTTAGGTTCGCCATCGCTTTCCTCCCAAGGAGCAGGCGTCTTTTAATTTCATGGCTGCAGTCACAGTCTGCGGTGATCTGGGATCCCAGGAACGTGAAGTCTGTCACTACTTCCACGACTTCCCCTTCTATTTGCCAAGGAGTGATGGGGCCGGATGCCATGATCTTAGTTTTTTTGATGTTGAGCTTCAAGCCCACTTTTGCGCTCTCCTCTTTTACTCTGAGCAAGAGGCTCTTTAGGTCCTCTTCACTTTCTGCCATTAGAGTGGTATCGTCTGCATATCTGAGGTTGTTGATCTTTTTCCCCGCAATCTTAATTCCTGCTTGTGATTCATCTAGGCCAGCATTTCGCATGATGTACTCTGCATATATATTAAATAAGCAAGGTGACAGTATACATCCTTGTCGTACTCCTTTTCCTATGCTGAACCAATCAGTTGTTCCATATCCGGTTCTAACTGTCGCTTCTTGGCCCTTATACAGGTTTCTCAAGAGACATGTGAGGTGGTCTGGTACTCCCATCTCTTTAAGGACCTGCCATAGTTTGTTGTGATCCACACAGTCAAAGGCTTTAGCATAGTCAATGAAGCAGAAGTAGATGTTTTTCTGGTACTCTCTCTAAGGTGACTGCTCAGCAATTTCCTTGAGTGCCCACGAGTTTGCACTGTATGAATCCGTTTATTATCTTGTGCCCTGCATTTCCTGGCCATTCCAAACAATCCCTGTGTTCCAGTTTCTTCATTGCTTTAATAAACACTACTTTGCTACAAACGTGTGTTTAGCTGAATGCGTGGAGGATCGGACAACGAGTTCTTGTATTGTGAGAAAGGGAGAAAAGGACTTCTTTCTTGACCTGCAATCAGTCTCAACAACGTTCCTTCAGAAGGATCAAGTAGAGTAAAGGCAGGTCAGCTGTCCATACATTCAGTGTTAGATCTCACTCCGCAGGCAGGAAAGGGGGAAGATATACAGGATTCAAAGTGGGGGCCCCTGATAGAATTAGGCCAATCAGAGGATGAGCTGCAACACGCCTAAACTAAGGGGTTCAAGGTACCAAGGACAGAAGCCCAGTTAAGATATAAGACTCAGCGGAAGACAGGAAAATTAACATTCCAGCACATTCAGATTCACCCAGTGGCCTCCTGCCTTCCCCTCCCCGTTATAATGGCAGCGCAGCTGATACCTTGTCAGGTAGCCCTGTCATGCGTCTGGAATGTGGAGGGGTGCCCTCCCCTTTTCTATCTCAGCTCTCCCTGTATGTTAGTTTATGCTTGACCTTGTAGATGTTCCAGCTGCAGTATTATTTGATTGGGAAAGCTAACTGTTTTTGCTTCGCCTGCTTGGCGTGAACTGTATCCATTGGCTCATGCTTACCTGGGGGATGTTTGATTCTAGTATAAGCCAGAGGCCCTAATATTGGCAACCATTCCTGACACAAGCTGTACACGTGTCTCTAGTGATGATTTTTACCAATAAACAGTTCTCTTCTCATGAAGCCCTGTGTTGAGTAACCTGACTAAGGACCCTGACACACCTGCTCTCTCCCAGGCATAATCTTGTAAACCTCCAGCCTGCCGCCATCACCACCAGTGGCCCACACGCCAGGGGAGACGGAGGCAAAGGAGCCGCCACTGCTCAGTCCCGGGAACATGCCCTGATGGCACACTGCTGGGCACCGCCTTCTACCCCTGGATCGCCATGGGAGCCGCCATCAGCTGTATTGTCCTTATTTGCACTTTATGCTGCATCTGTGGATTTTGGTGCATTGATTGTTCTATTGCACCTTAACCCGCGTGTTATTTTATTGTATTCTACCCGAGTAGGCCGCCTTGAGCCCGTTTGTCCCGGAAAGGCGGGATATAAATTGAAAATAATACATAAAGAAATTAAGAAAGGCAGCAGTCCGCCCTCGTTGGAGGCTCCCGCCGGCCGGCCGGCCTCTCCGGGCCCCGCAAAAGGAGAGGAGCGGAGAAGCTCCCGCCCTGCCTCCCGGACCTCCCGGCGACAAGCACGTGACCAGGGCGGCGCCGTCCCCCCTCTTGCCGGGCGGGGGCGTTTCCGGACGCCCGGGAGGGGCGTGGGGGCGGGACTTCCGGTCTCGGGCGGCGGAGGCGGAAGCGCGCGCGCCGTTTCCGCATCCGGGCGGCGGCTGGAGGAGGAGGAGGGGGGGTGGCGGCGCGATGGCGTCGGCGGTGCCGGGCTCCTCCTCGGCGGGGCAGGCGCTGCTGGCGTCGGCGCGGGCCTGGGTGCCGCGGCCCTCCCTGTTGCCGCTCCCGGGCCGCGCGGGGCGGCGCCTCCTCCGACTGCAGCTCAGCGCCGCGCCCGGCCACGACCGCTTCCGGATCGGCTTGAGGGGCGGCCCGGACTCGGGGCCCCGGCTCGAGGCGGACTTTGCTCCGCTGCCCGCGAGGCCGGCCCGGCCTGTCCCCGCCCCGTGCAGGCGCCCGCGCGCTCCTCGTCCCCCTCTGCGGGCGCTCTCCGGGTACCCGTCGGGCCTCTCGCGCCAGCCGTCCGCCCCGTCGGAGGGGGTCTGGGGCGGCCGAGCCCCTGCTGCGCCCCCCCTCCTCCTATCCTAAGGACGCGAGAGAAGCCAAATGCTGGCTCAGGCCGGGGGCCCAGACCGAGAGCTCCTGTCTCTGCCTTGTGATGGGCCCCCGCTCCAGGTGCTGATCCAGTTCCCTCTTGAAGCCGCCCATGCTTGTGGCCGCCACCCCCCCCCCCCTCCTGCGGCAGGGAATCCCACCTGTCAGTCGCTCTCGGGGTGAAGAAGGACTTCCTTTTATCCCTTCCAACCCGACCGCTCAGCAGTTTCACGGAGTGCCCACGAGGAGTTCTCGTATGGTGAGAAAGGGAGGAAAGGACCTCTTTCTTGACCTGCTCTATCCCCATGCAGAATCTTGTCAACCTCGATGCTGTTCCCTCTTCAGCCGCCCTTTCTCCAAGCACCTCAACCTTTCTTCCTAGGGAAAGCGTTCCTCCTCCCCCTTGGGGTTTCCTCTGCTGCCATTTTGTTGTTGTTGTTCAGTCGCACAGTCGAGTCCGACTCTTCGCGACCCCACGGACCAGATCCTGCCAGGCCCTCCTGTCTTCCGCTGTCCTCTGAAGTTTGCTCAACTTCATGTTTGTTGCATCTATGACACTGTCCAACCATCTCATTCTTTGCCGTCCCCGTCTTCTTTGACCTTCAATCTTTCCCAGCATCAGGGTCTTCTTTTAACTGCTGCCATACGAGGGCTCTTTGGCTTCCTGTGCCCGCCTGAGGTGCTGGGGGCAGATAGCGGAGATCAGGAATAGATAAGCGGGCTCTGCTTCCTCTGTCAAGTGGAGAGCCAGGGAGGGCGGCGGCAGTCCCAGCTCCCTGCTATCCCCTGTGGGGGGCGCTCCTCCTTCTGGGGTCCGGCGTGCTGTGCAGTTGGCTGGGAGGGAGGAGGGTATCTGGGACCCAGGCCCCTGGCAAGGAAGCCTTCGGGGCGCTGCTGGAAATCACCTGGAGACTGTGGCTGTTGGGTCCAAGGGGGGTGGAACTGGCTGCCAGAGGATGTTGTGATGGCCACAGGAACTAACAGCTTTAAAAGGGGACAAGATAGATCCATGGAGGAAAGGTCTAGCAATGGCTACTAGCCATGGTGGCTGAGGAGAACCTACACATTGAGAGACAGTCAACCTCTGAATACCGCCAGTGGCAGGAGGCAACACCAAGGAAAGCCAGTTTGCTGTAGTGGTTAGGAGCACAGACTCTAATCTGGGTGAACTAGGTTTGATTCCCCACTCCTCCACTTGCAGCTGGCTGGATGACCTTGGGCCAGTTACATGTTCTCTGGGAGATGTTCTTGAAAAAGAGCAGTTATCACAGAGCTCTCTCAGCCCCACCTACTTCACAGGGCGTCTGTTGTGGGGAGGGGGAGGGAAAGGAGTTTGTAAGCCGCTCTGAGATTCCTTCGGGTAGTGAAGGTTGATGTATACTTCCAATTTCTCCTGTTGTTGATCATCTAGAGGAACTGGGTGGCCACTGTGTGTGACAGGATGCTGGACTAGATGGACTATTGTTCTGATCCAGCAGTACTCTTCAGATGTTCTTCTCAGGGGAAGGCCTCGGCCTCTCTGCCCTGTTGTTGGCCATCCAGAGGAACTGGCGGGCCACTGTGTGTGGAAGGATGCTGGACTAGATGGACTATCAGTCTGATCCAGCCGGGCTCTTCTGATGTTCCTCTCAGGGGAAGGCTTCAGCCTCTCTGCCCTGTTGTTGGCCATCCATAGGAACTGGCGGGCCACTGTGTGCGGCAGGATGCTGGACTAGATGGACTATCAGTCTGATCCAGCCGGGCTCTTCTGATGTTCTTGTATTTTGCCTCTAGAGCCTGGTGGAGTACAGCCTCAGGGAGATTTCCTATGAAGTGAAGACTCCCACGTGCCATGAGTTGAAAGTCTTGGCTCGGCCGGATGACCCCATCGTCTTCCATTTTGAGGATGAGCACGAGGCGCAGAAGTGGTGGGCAGTCGTCAGCAGCTCCCTTTGGGAGGTCCAGAAAGGTCAGCGGCTGCCCAGGAAGGGCCGGGCAATTGTCTGGGAGGGGCTGCTTTTGTGGTCCCTGGCCGGAAGAGGCTCGCTGGCTCACTCAGAGCGTGTTTCTGTTGGTGTTGCGTTTGCGGCCAGGAAGCAAGAAGCACGCACCCCGCGTGGGACAAGACTCCCCATTGGGACAGCAAGTGTGGCTGGTGGGCCAGACCTGCCACAGTCCCATTAGCATTAGTCTGAGAGAACGGGGGAGTAGGAGGCGCTGCAAGTGCAGCTCTGCATTGCAGAGCGGGGTGTCAGACGGCCCAAGCCAGAGAGACTAACTTGTGCCATTCCAAATGGCGTTGGCTAGCGATACCCAGGGTTGTGTGGCATGGTGTCAAGTTTCTGGCCCTACGAAGCAGGCACAGAGATTTGCCGGTAGTGCCCAATGTACATGCAGGGGTTGTGTGTGTGAAGGCACTTCCCAAGCATTGCTCTCCCGACCTTGAAAAGAAACAGCTGCTTCCAGATTCTGGAGCCGTTTGTACACTGCTGTCTGTGAGGGCCAGTTTGGTGTTGTGGGTAAGTGGACGGATTCTAATCTGGGAGAACCGGGTTCGATTCCCCACTCCTTCTCCACTTGCACCTGCTGAATGATCTTGGGCAAGCCATAGTTCTGGCACAGCTGTCCTTGAAAAAGAGCAGTTCCTGTCAGAGCTCTCTCAGCCCCACCTACCTCCCAGGGTGTCTGCTGTGGGGAGGGGAAGGGAAAAGGAGATTGTAAGCCGCTCTGAGACTCCTTTGGGTTGTGAAGGGCGGGGCATAAATCCAATCTCCTCTTCTCCTCCTCCTCCTCATCTCCCCCCATTTTTTATGCACAATGTCCATCATCAAAGATCAGTACTGGTGCTCCTGTCCAGAGGTTTATCGGTTCTCCAGGGTGGTGTACCAGGGTGCCAATAGCCTCTTCTGGGTGCAGCAGCCAGTTTTAGCTGGAGTAAACACTTCCTAGGGCATACGGACCAGTAGATTCATTCCTTGCCCACAAGAAGCCTTTTGCACTCTGTGTTGCTTTTTCTCCAGTGTTGGGATTTCAGGCTGGTCCCCTTCATGGGCAGCTCTGAACTGGCTGAGCCTGCCTGCTGCTCAGTCTGAGGAGCTGAGTGTTTCCGTCCTCTGGAATTTCTGTCTGTCTCTCCCCAGCTGCTGAGGGCCCCCACATGGCGGCAGGACAGTCTCCTCTCCATCTCTCAGCTGCCACGAACTCTCTGCCGGTGTCAGAGCCTGAGGCCTCTCTGCCCTTGGACCTGGCGAGGAAAGGTTGGTGGCCAGCTGGGCTGGGAAAGGTGCCACTGCAGGCTGCAAGCAGTCAGCCTGTGGCTCTCTCTAAATCGCATAGCCAGCCAGCAGCGTTGGAGAACGCATACTGAGTGAACTTACCAGGAAAGACCTAGATTGTGCCGCCTGGGAAGTTTGCCAGGTCTTGCTGCTTGTTGTTTTTTTGCTTTCTCAACCAGTCAGACTTGCTTCCTCGGCTTCTCATGGAAGGTGGCATCAGTGGGCTGGGAACTTCCTTCTGCCAACTTTGGGTTAGGCAACTGGCCCTTGTGAACAGTGGCAGGCTCTTTGGGAGATCATTGGCCAGTGGTTAGGGGAGTGAGTAAGGAGAATGTGTTACTATAAAAGCGAGCAACCTGTTCGGAATTTGTGGATGTTGTGTTGGGGAATGTGCCACGACACAGTAAAGGGAAGCCTGTAGAATCCAGCCATTTCTTGCAAGGTGGGAAGGGAATGGATGGGCAGCCAGTCCAGCCAAGCTGTGTTCCAGCCTTTGTGTCCTTATCGCTTTAGAAGACCTGGCTTTCCACCTTTCCGTGGCTATTGGACTTGGGGACCAGGAAGAGGCCGTGCGATGTGCCACAGCGCTGGCTCAGCAGCAGGCCGCTCTACGCATCCTGCCCAAGGAGTCCTGCTACCCTGCGAGTGAGATCAGGTGAGTGTGTGTTTGGAGCAGGGAGATCAGGGTAGGGGAAGCTCAGCCTTGGCAATAGTGATTTGTGCCATCTTGTTTCCTGGTTTTCTTTCTTGTAGCATGAAGGTGGGCGTGGAAGATGCTATGTGCTCAGCCACCATCACCATCCCGGTCCAAACGTGTACCACAATCGCAGCTCTCAGGCAGAAGGTAGGGCGGGGCCCCGGGAGTGTGTGTGTGTGTGTGCCCCAGGACTGGGAGGCAGAGAAACCTGTCCTGCCTTTCGGCCTTGCACCCCAATAAGCCTCGAGAAAGATGGCCCTTGTCAGGGGACAGTCCTGAGGTCTTCAGAGTGCTGTAAAAGAGAGACTCACCGTGCCTCCCTTTTCTGTCCTTTCCAAGGTCTTCCAGGATTACGGTTTCCACCCCAGTGTCCAGCGCTGGATCATTGGTCAGTGCCTCTGTGTCGACGACCGAACGGTGGGCTCCTACGGGATCCGCAAGGATGGAGACACGGCCTTCCTCTACTTGCTCACGGCAAAGGTGGCCAATCTCTCCGAGCAGCGCTACAAAGAGGACAAAGACTGGGTGGTGCTGCAGCCGGCCCCTCCTCCGCTCTCAGGGGGCTCTGGCACCGGACAGCCTTCGTCCAGCCCTCTGCCCAAGACAGGTGGGTGGGCCAGCGCTTCCTTAGCAGAGGCCGTGGCTTGCCAGGACCAGCGGGCTGTCGGCCTCCTCCTCCTCCATCTTCCCGCAAGGGGCTGATGCTCCTCCCCGGTGCCTTTCTGACCCGCAGGTGTGACCCCTGGAAGTAAGAAGACAGATATCGAGGAGAGACTGAGCGCGCTGCAGCTCACCAACCTCCTTCCCAGCCATCCTCGAACTCCTCCGGCTGCAAATGTTGCCCCCCCTTCCCCCGTTCAGGTAGAATCTCTCGCCTTGCGCTAGCAGTGCTGTCCCCTGGGGGAGGCACTCCTCTTGTCCTGCCATGTGGCTCCCTTTCCCGCTGTGCGCTTGCCAAGGCTCGGGCGAGAGCCTCTCGTGCGATGGCCGGGCTGAGCCGTGGTCTCCTGGCGGGCAAAGGGCTGGCGAAGCTGGGGTCCCATGGGTGTCTTCCTCCGCTCCCCTTGCAGGACGGCTGGTCGTGTCCGACCTGCACGTTCATCAACAAGCCCACCCGCCCCGGCTGTGAGATGTGCAGCACTGACCGGCCGGCCAGTTACGTGGTTCCCGGCGGCTACAGACCCGACGAGATGGAGCTGTGGCGGATGCAGCAGGAGAAGGAGGGAATCCTGAAGTACCAGCAGGTGAGGCGGCTGCGCTGGTCTCGGCCCCAGAGCCTCTGTGGGAGGGTCCCGGGTGCTGCCCGATGGAGGGAATCGGCACAGCGAGTGCAGCGTGTTGACCGGGCCTGGCTGGACCCCGAGTGGTCGTTGGCCATCTTCCGTTGTGGTCGTGACCTTCAGCTTTATGCCCGATCCCCACCTGTGGGGCTGTGCGTGTTTTTCCGTGTGGATGTTAAAGTTGGTTAGTGAGTTATTGGTTGGGAAGTGGGGGGAAATATTATGCCAGAAATGCAGTTACTTCTGGCTCCCTCCCCCTCCTTCCTGGCAGGCAGTGGTGGGCCACATGGGTTCATCTCTGGGTCTCTCTCTCCAGCGGTGGCATGGAAGTGCCTGGCTCAGGTCCAGGGATTTCATCCACCGGCAAGCAGCGGAGCACTGCTGTGGCTTCCCACTTGTGGGGTGACCGGGCCCCCGTGGCTCACCACTGGTGAGAGGTTTGAGGACGTTGATGCCGGCTTGGCTGGAGCGATGCTGGGGTGGCTGTGGCAGATACCAGGTGTGGAGGGGTGGAAGGTGCCCTGGCCTGGTGAAGGAGGCCCAGGTTGAGCCGCGAGGTCTGACGGTGCGGTAGATTTAGAAGCCATGGGAAAGCTAACTGTTTTTGGAGGGTCTGAAGGAACAAAACAGATTTGTTCTGTGCTGTGGCGTCCTTCCTATGGGGGGGGGGGTCTGTGTTTCCTTTAAATCATACTCTGTGACGTACTTGCTTTTAGGGGAAATGGTTTGTGAATATAAACTTGGTAGTTTCTGCTGCCACCAGGAATTTAAAATTCCAACTCTCTCTCCTTTGGTAGTGTAACCCAGGGTCTGGGCACTTTAGAGGACTATGTTGCCCTGAGGAAGTACTGTACTGAATTCTAGGATATATTTAAACAAAAACAGATTTATTGATATAAGAACAAAATAGGTTTCTGGAAAAAGGAACTTGTAAAATATAACTAGCACAAGCTTTGTGTCACACCAGTCTCTCAGACACCAAAATTCCACTCTGACAGGATTCTCTCTCTTTCTCATATGTGTAGCCAACCTGGTTAAACTCTTTGACTTTTCCACACAAGATAAAACATTGGTCTAATCACACATTTTAGACACAGATTGTTTCTTTTCCTTATAGAGTCTCTCTCCACAGACTTTCTTTAAAGCTTTTCACACTTCACTCTCCAAAGACACACAGAACACTCTAAACGTTCTCATAAAACACACACACACAGGTTAATCTTCTCAGAACATCTCCCCCACACTCTCAGTCATCAACCAGTCACAGCACATGCATCTCCCTCTATCACCCTCCTTGTATTACTGGTCAAACTAACATTTAAAGGAACACACACACATCAAAGCAAGGAATCATTACACATGCTTTCTTAGCAAGACAAAATTTGTCATTTTACTTCATTGTTTATAACTGTAATATTTGACGTATTGATGGGATTTGGAAGTACAAAGGCTGCCGTTTCCTCCAAGCAAGGGAGAGCTGCCAAGTACGTATCTTGGTGTTTTGCCTTCTGAAAAGCGGGGGGGAGAGAGAACTTGAATATGCAACTGGCAGGGCTTGCTGCTTATTCGGATGTTCAACTTTACAACTTGGAAGTCGTGTGCTTGTGTTATGTAATAGTGTATTATCCAGAGAGCATACCATAGACAAATCAGTCGTGCTTAAGCAATAAATATCCTTTCGAAAATATGTGTATGCCCATAGCATCCGTAAAAATTACCTAATGAGGTAGAGTTCTATGTAAATCTTAATGCTGTGGATTCTGACGTTGCTTTAAAACAAATCTGAATGAATTCCAGAAGTGACAAAATGTCGTTGGCTTTTCTTTTTGACACGTACCAAACTTTCATATTTTTCTCCCCTTTGGAAAAATAGGAAGAAGGTCCGGGGGGCGGGTGGGTGG